CAAATTTTCACACGAAATGCAAAAAAACGAAGAAACTCGAATTCAAAAATTTGCTTCTTAATTATTATGTAAAATTTGGAGCTATTTATTACAATGTACACGTTAATTACTCGAAAAACGTAAGATTCTATGTTACATTCATCAATTAAAAAATTGCAAATCGAAATATACTACTATAATTAACAACCAAATAAGTTAATTAACTTAATACTTTATAAGACATCTACAATATTTTGTTAAAGTTGTAGGATAATTTTTAAATTATATGCATTGGTGCCTATTTAATGCCATTTTAAGATAGCTTATATACCTGAATAGCCTACGGAAAATTTTTGCCCATCAGAAGAATGAATAAAAATACACGTGCAGGCTGAGTTACTTGAAGAGAATCGTGACGAATTGACTTATTTAAAAGAAACGTTTGGAATCTACAGTCACAAGGATTTTCCTGTAAACAAGCAGAAGAAGATGCTGATGCTGACATAATTAAGATCTCGGTAGAAACTGCCAGAGATCTACCCTTAAAAGCTCACCCTCTTCCATTCCCCGACCTCAGATCGCCCGTAAATTATTTTTCTTTTTATTTTTGTTATATTTTCTTTCTTTTGCAATGGGTATCATCCTGTTCTAATTTTTTTTTTTGTTCTCACAAATTATCGGCACTGGCCTACTATATCATAACAACGAAAAAAAAAACATAAGCAATAACTGTGATTTTTTTCGATCAAAATGCAAAACGAAGATCCCCAAGAAATTCGTCATGCTGCTGAAGCTGTTGTACTGAATTTGTTGCCTTCTGAATTAAATTTGTTTATATATTTCTCTCCCTAGGGACCAAATATTCTATTTCTCTCTCTAGAGAGCAAATGTTCTATTATAAGTCCAGAGGTGGAAGCATTGTAATTGGTTTTAATAAATCTATTTTCTTTGAAGTAATTGACTTAGCAAAGTTTACTGATTGGACAATACCTTCTTTAGTTGATTTGCTTATTGTTAAAGTTAATTTTTGTAATATTATCTTTTATTTAATAGCAACTTATATACCACCATACGTGACTACTAATGACTATGAATTATTTTTTGATTCGCTTAGTAATATTATATTTCTTCTTAATTCTAATTCGAAAATTTTACTTATAGGTGACTTTAACATTAATAAATACTTGCCAGAGAATACTGTTAGTAGTGATGCCAAAACAAACCTGTTACTACAGTTTTTAAATTTTACTCAGCTCCAACAATTAAATTTTGTCCCAAATTTTCACAAACGATACTTGGACCTGGTGGTGTCTAACTTAAAATGTGTAGTGTCGAAAGCTGAGTACACATTCTTAACAGAGGATTTGCATCATCCTGCCTTAAATTTATACGTAGATACTTCAGATATAAGTTCTAAACACTTTGTGTCCACAAATGTCAACAATGGTTATAAATTTTTTAACTTTAGGAGAGCAAATTTGTCATTATTATTTGATGAATTGAAAAAAACTGATTGGTCGTTCCTTGATTCTTGCTGTGATGTGGATGATGCATGTGAACTTTTTTACAATAAACTGTATGACATCTTTAATAAATGTGTTCCTCTTTGTACATATAGGAAGTCATCAAATAAATTTCCATTTTGGTTTAGTAATCAACTTCGGAAACTTATTGTAAAAAAGTGGAAAATATTGAAACAATATAAAGTTACAAATGATCCTGCAGCTTTAATGGAATTTAAATTACTTAGAAAACGTGCAAAATACATGATGAAAGACAATTATACCTTATTCATTACTGAGAGCATCTCCAAAATTGATACTGATCCAAAAAAATTTTGGTCATACATAAAATCGAAGAAGGGATACAATAATGTCCCAAAGCGCATGAGTTTTCAGGATGTTTACTATGATAAAGTAGATCCAATTTTGGAAGCATTTGCTAATCATTTTTCTAAATCGTACAGAATATCTTCCAATGTTTGTTCAAGTCCTAATTATAATTTATGCAGTTCTGATACGCTTAATATTAAAAATGTTGATAATCGAGAAGTTATAGATGCGATTAAATCACTAAAGTCAACTTACACAACTGTACCCAGCTATATTGTGAAGGAATATGCCGAAATTTTTTCGATTCCTTTGAGTTTTATTTTCAATTTATCACTTTCTACATCCAAATTCCCGAATATATGGAAACAATCACATGTTGTTCCTATTCATAAACAGGGTGACAAGACTAAAATTGAGAACTACAGGGCTGTATCTCTTATAATTTTGCGAAAATATTTGAGATACTCCTATATAAATTTATTTCTGAGCACACTAACCATTTCATTTCCAATCAACAGCATGGTTTTGTTTCCGGAAGGTCTACAGTAACAAACTTATCTTGCTTTACTCAATATGTGTGTGAGGCTTTCAATGGTAAACAGCAGGTTGATGTGGTATATACAGATTTGGCAAAGGCGTTTGATAGGGTGGACCATAAGAATTTAATATTTAAACTTAGTCGTTATAGTTTGTCTATGGGCTTGATGAATTTGTTTGAGTCTTACTTGTCACATCGAACTCAGTGTGTTACCTACAATAGTTTATTTTCTGTCTTATGTTGCATTATCTGGCGTTCCACAGGGGTTGGTGTTGGGCCCGCTGTTATTTAATTTGTACATAAATGATATTGTGGATGAACTCTCTGTTCCTTCGTTGTTATACGCAGATGATATGAAACTTTATTTGAAAGTAAGTAGTACTGCGGATGTTATTCATCTTCAAGCAAATGTTTCCAAAATGTTTTCTTGGTGCATCAACAATGGATTAGATCTCAACACAGACAAATGTTACATACTTTCATACACCAACAAGAATAAAGTCCTAAAATATGCTTACACAATTAATGGTGTAGTTTTAAAACGCCTTGAATACACAAAAGATTTGAGTGTTACGTTTGATGTAGGCTTAACATTTAATCAGCATTATGTAACAATTGTGTCAGCTGCGCTGAAAGTACTAGGTTTTATCATCAGAAACACTAGAGATATCGGAGATATACCTTTAATAATTAAATTGTACATGACACTTGTAAGACCAAAACTGGAATATGCTAGCGTAATATGGTCTCCATTTCAACAAAAATATATTGAGGAATTGGAGAAGGTTCAAAGGAGGTTTCTTAAATATGCGTACTATAAATCTGAAGGAATTTATCCGATTAGACATGTGGCTCAAGAGCAATTACTGAATAAGTTTGAAGTTAAATCCCTTATTGAACGAAGAAATATTCAATTACATTTCTTTATAAATTGATACATGGAAAAATTTGTTGTGAACACTTACTAAGTAAGTTACCGTTTGATGTTTCGCGTAGAAAAACTAGAAACAGCAACACATTTTATTTACCTACACCGCGAATTGATATTTATAGATTCTCCACAATTTTTCGAATGTGTTATAACATAACTACAATACAATCAATCAATATTTTGACATATTTTACAATAAAATAAACGACATACGTTCCATAAAATACTGGTCTTAGTAATTGAGATAGAAGGTATTGATGGTCTGAGCAACTTAATTTTTGTAAAATCTTCTCGTAATTGGACTACGGTATGTGAGAAGATTCAAATAATAATAATAATAATTATTATATTTCTCTCCCGATTTTGCTGTCATAGAACCGAGTTTTTCTCCCGCGAGTACAAAAACAAAAAAACAATAATTTTACAACCAATGTTCGAAATGTTGTCCATTTACTTCCTGGCAATAGTAAATACACTGCACATACTCTTCAAATGCATCTGTTAGAATATTAAGAGAAATATTAGTCATCACATTTAATACTCTTTCTTGGAGTTTTTTGGTGGTGTAGAGTTAGTGTTTGTAAAATCTGTCTTCGTCAAAAAACTTTTTATATATTCGTCGTCCACATACCTCTGGATATGTCTGTTGCTGATTTGGAGTTTTTTATAGACTTGCTTGAAAATACATATAAACTTTCTCAAAGTTCTTAAATGTGAGACAATGTAACTCAGTTTTAAGCGGTACAAATCGTCTATTAGACCTGATATTTATTAATTTGCCGGATTGTAAGGTATCCCATGAAGCATTTCCCTTAGCAGTAGAAGACAAGTACCATCCTTGCCTTAATATTGTGATTTCCATAACTCAAGCTTCTTACGCTGACCTACCTGTGCGCTCTGATGCAAAAATTTACAACTTCAAAAAAGCAAATTACCCACTGTTATATGCGACCCTGTTACAAACTGATTGGTCATTCCTTGAAAGATTTGATGATCTCAGCGATGTGTCTGAAGCTTTCTATAAGGTCCTTTATGAAATTCTTGATAAATATGTACCTACTATTAAATAATTTAAACGTTCCTGTCCTAAATGGTACTCCGCGGATTTTCGAAAAATAATTAAACTTAAGAACAGATTACATCTAATATTCAGAAAGCACCCTTCACCGTTAAAGTATGACAACTACTCCAGTGTACGAAGAGAGGCGAAACGGTTAATTAACGCAATAAGAAAATTGAAAAATAATCAGGTTACTGGCATTGATAAAATTCCTTCTTTTCTATTCAAAGATTGTGCCGGTGTATTCGTTAAACCTTCTTTTTTATCCTTCAATTCTCAATTAAGACCTCATATTTTCCGGACATATGGAAACAAATAGCAAGGTAGTTCCCATTTTTAAGAAAGGTAATAGGTCACGCTTGCGTGGATGTGTGTTGTTTTCCAACCTCAATATTCCCTAATATCACGAATTGTCTTGGGGAAGAAAGCACAGGGAAGTGGACTACGGCGAAATTAAAGATTGAAGAGAGTGTGGAAGAGAAGGCATCAAAAAATCTGGTACAAATGCGGTCTAAAAACGTAAGCATAAAGCTGCGTGTACACAAGAAAGTAACTTGCGAGGGGAACTTCTGAGAGTACTTGCGCAAGCGTTTACATACCAACAAATAAACTGACCAAATACCTCTCAGCAACTGCTATCTAGAGTGGCGCTTTGGCAACTTATTGCATTGCCGTGTACACCAGATAGTCTTTTAATTCGTGCTAGAGTAAAACATGTAAAAATTTCGATATTCTTTTGTTTCACCGGAAGGGGAAGTTGCATGGCAATACAGGCACATTTAATTACTGTGTAAATAATGAACTTCCAATACAACAATAAATACATTTAACAATTCAAAATACATTTTATTACTTACCAAATTATCTTCGCCTTGTGCCATTGAAATTTCGTCATTAAACAGAAATTTGAGAGCATCAAAATATTCCCAAGAGCTCTTGTATACGTCATCAGCGCCTGCTCTACTGTGTCTTTTCTTAATTTTTTTACATTCCTGATTTTGTTGAGTACGGAGGTTGTGTAGTTTTCTTTGGATTTCACTTACACTAGCTTTAAATTTATCTGCTATGGCCTTAAACGCTTTTTCTTTTTTAATCCTATCTCGATACATTTTTGATTTTACATTCCACAATTCCGGGAATCCTTCATACATTTGAATCAAGGCGTACGTTTCTTCCTTGGACCACGACCGTTTCTTGGTGTCCATATTTAATAATAATAACTTGATGCCGCTTGCCACTCTAGATAAAAACTTTCCAGACAAGCTTGAAATAAATACTGCTTGGCTAGAGGTCTCTAGCAAATCGTTTATACTTGCAAATTGTTTATTGCATAAAGTGCTTGCCGCAACTTGCAAAACTTGCAGCAAGCGTACTCTCTACCACTGTTTACACCAGCCAGTGCACCAGCAAGTACTCTCAGAGAGTAGCTTGCGACAGTTTTACTTGCTCATGTACATGCAGCTTAAGGATAGGTTAAAGATAATGTAGTCGGATAGTAGAGATAGAGCGTATCAAGGAGAACGCGGCCGGGGTCGTGGCGATGTTGCTAGTTTGTGCAGTTTAGGAGCGGAGCCTGGGAATCTTTCGCGAATAAAACACAAATAAACCCTATTGAAGTATCCTGCAAACCGAAACGGTTAGACCACCGATAGGGGTGAAGAATTCGACAGGTCGACTGGTTTGACACCTCTTACGCGGTGGGTTAACCTAGAAAAGGTATATCGGAAATGGGTTCAGAGAGCGAGAGCACAGATGAGAGAGATAGAAAGAGACCAGCGAAGGAAGGCATGTTTAGCAGATCAAAGAAAACCGAAAGGACACCAAAAAAAAAAGTAACTAGTAGCCAAGATATGTTGGAAAAAATGATGGGTATCTTGACGGAATTGTCAGGGAATGTCAAAGAAATTAAGGTAATGCAGGGTTCTAAAAACTTAAACAAGCAAATGAATGAACTACGCAAGGAGCAAAAAGAATATAGAAAAAAAATTGAGGAGTTAAAAAAAATTAATGAACAGACAGTGGTGGATACGGAGCATTTAAAAAGACTCATCATCAAGCTAAGACTGGAAAAAATGGAGAAGCGGAGTCGTAAGAATAACATAGTGATACAAGGGCTGGCTATAAATACTGTAGATTAAAGAATATTAGGAGAAACTGTAACGAGTTTTATGGAGGAAGAAATGGGTATTAAGGTAAAGATCGAAACAGAGAGTATTTATAAATGATGATATGGCTAGAATCAAGAGGGAAATACAATCGAAAATAAGAGCTAAAGCTAAAGAAGAAAAGGGTAAAGGAAATGAGGTTAAGATAGCGTTTCAAAAGCTAATTATTAATAAGGAAGAATGGACATGAAACAGTGAAAAGGGCGGATGGGAAAAAACAAAAAACGACAAGCCAAAAAACTAGCAGTAACTGGGGATAGGATGGGAACTATGGAAACGACACGGCAAAGGCAAGGTTCACGAAGAATACTTTTAAAAAGGAATAACATAAGCAATAAGAAAGAAAGAAAGTTGAAAATAGCAACATGGAATGTGCGAGGATTGGGTCAAACTGGAGCAGTAATGAGTTTAGTGCATGAAGCAATTAAATAAGTATAAGCTGGACATAATAGCGTTACAGGAAACACACATTAAAGAATCGGGTATATCGCAAATAGAAAACTACTTCTTGCTAAACAGTGGGAGTGAAATTACAAGATTCGGTGTGGGTTTCTTGATCAGTATGGAGATGAAGGTGAGGTTGAGGAATTTTACACCGCTGTCTGACAGATTATGTTACATGGAATTTGAAGAAGGAGGAAGAGTGGCACTGCTGAATGTGTACGCACCCACAGAGGGGAGGAGCGAAGAGGAAAAGGATATATTCTATGAAAAAGGGGACAATAAGGGTAGTGATGGGAGATCCCAATGCGAAGGTGGGAAAGGAGGGCATATACAAACACATAACCGGGGGTGAAAGTAAGCACCAGGAAAGCAATGACATTAGTAAAATATTAATAGAATTTGCGGAGGGGAATGGTTTAAAAATTATGAGCACACACTTCAGAAGAAAAGACATATATAAAGTTAGCTGGGTTTCACCGGATGGTAGGTATAAAAACCAGATCGATCACGTGTTGGTTGCTGAAAAATATAAAAGCCTAATTAAGAACGTAAAATCGAGAAGAGACGCAAGTGTGGACTCCGACCAATATCTGGTACAAGTAGACTGAACAAGTAAGTTGACGAACAGAGCGAAAGAAAAAATTTGGGGGAAAGGAAGTACGATGTGGGAAAACTAGTAGAGGTAGAGGTGCAGAGAAGATACCAAGAAAAGATAGAACGAAACCTCGGACATGAAGATGAGCAAGACACGCAAAGCATCGAAAAGGAATGGAAAAAAATGTGAGGGCAATTAGCGTATCCTCCAGAAAAGCAATACCCTTAAAAAAGAAACCCAAATGCAATAAATGGTGGGACGCAGATTGTGAAAAAGAGTTAGAAAAGAAAGATATTCTAAGACTAAAAGCATTACAAACAAAAACTGAGCAAGATGTAATAGCATACAGTAACCCGAGGAAAAAGACAAAGATGTTATACAGGCAAAAGAAAAAAGGGTACGTCAAGTGAATCTTATCAAGGAGATGGATGGCGCACTAATTGGGGATGAGACAGGAATACGAGAAAGATGGATGGAACATTTTAAACACATTCTGAATGAGGATGATGATAACTTGGAGGAGGGTGATCAGGAGGACAGCGAAAATCAAATTGAGGGATGTACCGAACCAACTGAGAATGAGGTAAATAACAATTTGAATAAGCTAAAGAACAACAAGAGCCAAGGCGGAAATGGAGTAGCAGCGGAGAATATATGTGGCCCCCACAGGGAGCCTCCATCTTCAAAAGACAGCGTCGAGTACACCTGTAATGGATGTGGGCGGGTATTCGATTCCATGCAAGGGCTCAGGCAACACGAGAAGAGAGCTCACCCATTTGCATATTATGCGGCTATTGAAGGAAGCGAGCGGTCAGCTACGCAGGACTTTCCCGAGGTTCCGGAAACACCGACGGAGCCTTCGGTTGTTCCTGAAGCGTGAGGCGAAACACGAGAGAAATATTATAAGCTCTATTCCTATTACTACCGAGGTGGTAACATCGCAATCCTCTAGGGAGGAAGTAAATTCTCACGACGAGGCTATTACATCGCAGCTCCGAGGCAACGAAATTATTACGACAATCCTCAATGTTGACTCGCTCCCGAAGAGCACGGTTTCCCCATGTTGTTTAAAGGCATTGGGTGAGGCCCCAACGGTCGTTGGAGACGGTGTCCAAACCGCCAATCATACTATGCGGACAGTTGTGTGTTAGATGTGATGCGAGGTTCCATACGTTCTCCGCTCTGAGGGGACGTGAACGGGCAAAACACCCTCAAATATTCTCCTGCGGAGTGGAACAACATCCTGTGTCGGCCAATCTCGAACAGCAGCTCGAAGAAATGGCCGAGTACGAGCTGCGACACAGAGCCAACATTAAGACCATTGCGAGAGACTTGGGCTTGACGAAAAGTCAGGTCAGGTCACGCAGAAGGCTCCCAGTGGATAAGATTATGGTATATTTGACAAAAAATTCGCGACAGACCCCCCCACCCCCAAAAATTGGCGATCCTGTAATCGACATGGTTAATGAATCAGAAGTGATAAATGCAAGCAGCGAATTACCTATTACTACCGAGGCTGCTGTCACTTCTTACAATCACGTCTCCAGTGAACATCCTATTACTACCGAGGTTTTCCCTATTGGCGCTCCTGCAAACATCGTTGTTGAAGAACTTGGAGTGGTAGAATCACACATTAGCCTACCTATTTCTACCGAGGTTACATCTATCCCGATTCCCAAAGAAAACATTTCGGATGGGCTCGAACGGGTAAGTACATCTATTCAATTTTTGGGGCAGAATAAATCTTCGAGTCCCCATAGCAGGTTCTTCACGGTTGGCTGTTCCGCTGGTGACGCATATTCCAACTAGTGTGTCTGATGTAGGGGAGCTAGATGAAGATACTGTTAACAGCGTCCTGAACATGGTCTCTCCAGATTTCTCCCAGGACTACGTACAGCGTAACCTATGGGTATGGACGGAGGATAGTATGGCGGAGGAGGTTACTTCGGACGCCTCACATTCTGTCACCATTTCATCGTCGCCGATTAAACCATTGGCCTCGTCTCCATCGGTTCCTCTTCTTCAAATTCAGGGAGATCCCATCAAATCTATCCTCGCTCTCATGCAGGATGTCAATAACCAGCAGCGACAACAGCGATATCCTATTCGACAATGGGTAGACAGGATTTCGGCAGGTCATCTGGACTCGTGGGGTGATATTGTCGAAGAAGCGTTGCTATTGCTGCTCCCATTAGAAGAGAGAGCGAGGGCAAGATCTTCGAAAGCCAAACCTCCTCCAGTGGGTACGAAGATCTTAAACAGGAATCAGAAACGTATGGCCGAGTACAAAAAGGTACAAGATCTTTACCAGAAGAACAGAAGGCTCTTGGCAGACAAAATCGTTTCTGGGGAGCCCCTGGATGTACCCGCTGTCAGGCCCTCCATGGAGTTAGTCATGACGGTACATGACGGAATACTCCAATCTGCGCCTCCTCCTGATGATCACGCATTCACCCTAAAATAATCTTGTATTCTTCCGCAAGATTTCGTCATCATCACTTCAAACGAAATCGCCCAATTAAAAAGGGGTGGCCAAGATCAGCTCTCGGCTGTGCCGTAGCTCGCTGTAGCAACAACATGTTGGCGATCATTTTTAATATTCTTTTGAACAGCAGATATCAACCGGTCGACTGGAGGCAGATGAGGACCATTTTGATCCCCAAACCGGGGAAGAACAGGTCGGATCCCACCAACTGGCGTCCCATTACAATAGGGTCCTCCGTGCAGCGCCTTTTTTATCGCACCCTTGCCCAACCCCTCACCAATTTGACCAGCTTAAATTCCAACCAGCGCGGTTTTACGAAGACGACCGGTTGCCTTGCCAACTCCCTTATTTTGGACACCATAGTAACGATAGGACGCAAGCGAGGCTGGGTACTAGCATGATATCTATGGACCTGATAAAAGCGTTCGATTCCGTGTCCCATTCTTCCATACTGAGAGCTTTGCGTCGGGTGCAAGTGCCTCCCTACTTAATAGAGTACGTAACAGCAACACTCAC